CTAGGACACTGCTGTGGGAATGGAAAGGATGAGTTTTTCAAGTGATATTTATGAAGTAGAACTCAGAGGACTTTGAGACTGACTGGCTATGGGGGAAAAGGTCAAGGATGACAGTATTTAGCTTTAGTAACAGCACAGATTGTGGTACTAACCATTGTAATAGGACATAAATATGAGCAGATTCAAAAGGAAAGGAGCAGTTAGTGCTTAAGAGACAGATAAAAATGTCTGAAATGTAGCTGAATATAAAGGTCTGAAATTCAAGAGATTATCTAAGTTCAAGACATAAATTTGGAGACCATAAGCATATAAATGAAAGATAAGTAATGGGAGTTCATGAAACCTAGGGAGAATAGATAATGAATAACAGAATTCAAGGGACTTGACCGAGAAACTGGGGCCACAACAGTAAGAAAACCAAGAAGGTAAGTGTTACATGAGTTAGGGAAAGAGTGACTGAGGGAGGAACTCTCCACTAATAACATGTAAAGAACTTCATAACACAAAACTATAAATAATGCTGATCCTTTTTTTCTTTTACAATAAATAACAAAATTAACGTTGTCTTTCCAATATCTCAAATATCAACTTTTAGAGTACTCATGAATTAAAAATATAAATCACATGTTCCCATATCAGCAAACTGAAACAAGTATAAATGTACCAAAGAAATACAGCAAAAAACCCCCCAGATTATTGACCAGCTTTCAGATGTAAACAGTAGAAAAATTACCATCTCCTCCCACCAAAAGTTTTTATACACAGCCTTACCAATTTTACTATTCAATGATAGCAACACTAAATTATTCTCCAAATAAAGCCCATGATAAGATCTACTGACATCAAAGCAATTGCTTCCAAACCTAACTTGTGAGATACTCAGAAAAAACTAACTAGTACTAAGTCACTGATAAGAAATTTCACAAGTCTTCCCTGATAGGCATTGAGGGAGGTATGCTAGCTGCACCTGCCAGAGTCCATTGCCATGCAAACTCTCCCCTTCTTCCACAAACAGGTAAAGCCTCTGGATTGTGTTTAAATTCTCGATTAATACAAATTCTTCAAAGTAATTGATTTGTTATTGAAAATGTTAGTAAGAGGATCAGCTATAAGGAGGTATATTTAGTGTCCTGAACCAGATCCTTAAGATGAGAAACACTGAATTAAAAAAATAAGAATTCAGAAGGAACTTTAGGTATGTGGCTAACTTCCTGATATATCCCTTGTTGGACTGAAAATTATAGAAGCATTCCCACATTATGCCCTGTTATTTCATCATTAAAGAGGAACATCATAAAGGTATAGTCAGGGGTCAGCAAACATTTTTTTGTGACGTTATCTAGGTTTTGTGGACAAAAATGATTTTTGTTGAAACTACTGCTTTCTGCTATTGTTGGTGTGAAAGCAGCCACGGCCAATATGTAAACAAATGGGCATGGATATGTTCCAATAAAACTTTATCCACAAAGCAAGCAGCAGGCTAGACATAGATACCCTTGATATAAATGAGGAGAAATGGAAGTGGGTAGGGTTATTATCAGGGCCACCATATGGTCCTACTTCAGGGAGTGCTATTCACACTATATAGTTCATGGGAACCAAATAACCTCTGGAGTTGTGCAGTGCACAGACATTCAAGATACTTAACATGGTTCATACAGTTCTGCTATTTTAGAATATCTTTTAAAATCTTACTGAAGTTTTAAAATGCCATCAGTCTATCAGGATCAGCAGACTATAGCCCATACTCAAATCCAGCCTGCTGCCAGTTTTTGTATTAATATATAAAGTTTAGCTCTAACACCACCACATTCATTTGTTTACATGTTGTCTATAATCACACTGAGCTACAGTGGCAGAATTGAATAGTTGGGACAGGGGCTCTATGGCCTGTAAAACTGGAAATACTATATTGCCTTTTACTGAAAAAATTTACTGATCTCTGGCTCTACATTAAGTAATATTAGTACCACCATTAAAAAATAAAGAACTTTCTTATAAGAAAAATTATAGCTTACTGAAAGTAATAAAACAATTTTGAAATTGTTGGTAATTAGAAGAGAAACAAACTAAAGAAGAACATGATTTTATTTTTGGGTGTTGTATATTTTTCAAATTGTCTTTCACAAAAATACAGAAAAGCACAGTTTTTATATTGCTAAAATTTGGAAATGAAATTATTTTTAATCTTCCAGTAGTAAGATCTATGAATATTCATAAGGATATGTAATCAGTGTTATGGGTCAATTTGGTTCTATATCCACCTCCTCACAGCTGACTAAAATCTTGGACCACCTGCCAGAATCCTGACTAACCCTTTACCTTCACATTCTGACACATTTGTCATTTGATTTTTGTCAGATAGAAGCTATAATTGAATAATTATTCCTTGTTGTAGGTGAAATTAACAAAATGCTGATTGGACAAAAGCACCCTCTTAACAGACCATTTATAAATTCATGGCTTTGACATCTGTGTCCTTCTCGATTCACTGACCAGAATTCATTTGTCACTAGAACGGCTCACATGGTGAATAGATAAAGATGGGAAATCCTTTATCCCTTAGAAATGCCTCATAAAATTTTGGACAATAAAGGATAAGACAGAGATGCATAAAGAAACAATTTCTAGTAGACAGTAGAAATTTAGTATCACTGTTTGTATATAAATAACCACATAGTAAAAAGATTTAAAACAAAGGAGATAGTAAATAAGTCAAAATAAACCCTTTTTCACAATATATATGAACAATATGGAGATTTTAGCGAAATAACAATGGTAGCAAAAATGCTCGATATGCATAAAAGAAAATTTAACATAGAGTCACCAAATGGGAATTTAAGTAAGCTTGAAAAATTAGTTTCTAGTTTATATAATGAAGGTATCTTTAAAAAGTAATATTTATTTGGAAATTGAACTCATCTCCCCATCATTAATTTATAAATAATGACTAGACCCACTAAAAGTTAGCTAAGGCTAACATATAGCTATAATATGCTTTGAAAAATTATATGCTGAAAAATAGAAAATGATATGACTTCTATTACTGAACAAACTCAAATTAATAAATGTGAAAAAAGCAGATCTGAAGATGAGGAAGTAGACAGTTGTAAAAACACTAAAGGAATCCTTTAAGCACTATGAACCAATGCCAGTGGCTGATTATATTGAGATAATCTATGCAAAAGTGTAGAAAATGTGAAGTGCTGTATAAAAGATAAGTGTTAATACCACAATGCTTAAATTCATTTAATAACTTTTATGAAGTATAAACCTAATGCTAAGCTCATGTTCACCAGCTGTAACTCAGGCTGGGAATTAACATTTATTGAGCAACTATTTTGTGTCAAGCATCTCATTTAGACATTTGAATAATTTTATAAAGTTGGATTATAATCTTCTTTTTATAAATTTTAAAAACCTGAAATTCAGAGAGTAACTTGCCCAAATACCTGGTCTTCTTCAGCTAACTCGATAACGAATCAGCTGACAAAGCAGAGATTTAACTTAAGGTCTAACTGCAAAGTCCATATCTTTCCATTATGCATGATGCCACATTTTGATGCTTTTCAAATGGAAGAAAAATAGAGAGGAACCCCACTTTCCTAAGGTAAACAGGTACTTGTTGGAAGAAAAGGAAGGAGAAATGGTGTTGAAAAGATTGGAGATAAATAAAATTTCAGGACAAAGTAAGGAAAATGGTAACATTTAGCCTTAATTATTTTGCTCTGAGCAAAGGAATGAGATGACAAGGCAAAAACAAAACAAACACTAAAAAGGGAAAGCAAGGAAGCAAGGCCAAGGGTTCAAGATCAGCCTGGCTACCATGTTGAAACCACATCTGTACTAAAAATACAAAGAAGTAGCCAGGCATAGTGGCAGACACCTGTAATTCCAGCTACTCAGGAGGCTGAGGCAGGAGAATCGCTTGAACCCAGCAGGTGAACGTTGTAGTGAGCCAAGATTGCACCACTGCACTCCAGCCTGGACATCAGAGCCAGACTCCATTAAAAAAATTAAAAATAAAAGACAAAAATGAAAAGATACATTATGCTCATAAACTAGAAAACTCAATATTAAAATGCTAATTATTCCCAAATTGATATATTCATTCAATCCAATTTCTAGCAGTCTTTTTAAAGCAGAAATAGCCAGATTCTAAATTTTTTTTTCAACTCCCCTATGCCACATGACCAAACTATCACAGCAATTTTAAAGAAGAACAAAACTGGGAGATTTTCCTTACCTGACCAAGACTCAGTATAAAGTTACAGTAATTAAGACAGTATGGTACTGGTGAAAGGACAGACTTAAATGAAAAGAACACAGAAATAGACTCACATGAATATGGTCAATTAATTTTCAAGATATGCTAAGCAATTCATGGGAAAGAATAGCATTTCAATTAAGGGTGCTAGAAAATATTAATATCAACCCTTACCTCACACTATACACAAAAATTAATTTAAAATAAATCATAGACATAAATGTAAAAACTGAAACTCCAGGAAGGAAACACAGGAAAATTCTGTGTGACCTTGAGTAAAGCAGAAATTTCTTAGGAAATTTTTCTTAATATGACAGAGACTAAGCACATGTTTAAGAGTCATCTGTATTTCCTTTTTTTGTGAGCCACCAATTATTTGTCCAATTTTCTATTGGGTTTGTGGTCTATTTATTTATAGAATCTAATTATATGTGGGAGAGATTAACTTTTTATTGGTGATAAAAATTGAAAATTTTTTTTCAGTAGGTAGTCTTGTGACTTTGCTTATAGCATATTCTGCCATTTAGAAATTTAAACAGATGCAATTAGATGTATCAATGTTTCATTTAGGGTTTCTGAATTTAAGTTCTTATTTAGAAAGGCTCCCCTCCCCCAAGTTTATAAACCTATGTTCCTTCTAATATTTTTACCATTTGACTTTTCTTGTATTTAATCTTTGGTCATTTGAAATTCACAGTGTAGAATTTATTGCATGGATTACGCTTTTTTTTTTTTACACAATAATTTATTTATTGAGAGCCTCCTATCCGCTCTTGCAGTCTCTAGGTCACTTTTTCCGCTTGTAGATTTTGCGCGCAAGCCCCAGAAAGATAGCTGGGGGCAGGGGCGCTGCGTACTGTTCAATGAGACCCATAATGTGGCTGTAGCTGTCTTCCTCATACTGCGAGAACACGGCCGGCAGATCCAGCTCCTCATATAATGCCTTCACTCGAGCCACCTTCTCAGCCTCCTTCTGCCCGTAATTTTCCTTCAGGATCTGGCGCTGTTCCGGAGTGGACCGTTGCAGACACTGGACCACCAGCCAGCTGCATTTGTTGTCCTGGATGTCAGTGCCAACTTTGCCAGTCACACTGGGGTCCCCAAAGAGGTCAAGGTAATCATCCTGAATCTGAAAGAACTCTCCCATCTCCAACAGGATCTTCTTGGCATTGGCATGCTCCTTCTCGCCATCAATTCCTGCCATGTACATGGCTGCAGCTACAGGAAGGTAGGAGTAGAAAGCCGTCTTGTACTTGACAATAGATTTGTACCTCTTTTCAGTGAATCTGCCAAGATCCACATTGCCCTGGGGGGCTGTGATGAGGTCGAGGGTCTGCCCAATCTCAGTCTGATAGGAACTCTGCAGGAAGAGCTCAATCAGGTTCAGGTAATAGGGCTGCTCCCGGCAGTAGAGCTTCAGCAGGCGGTAGATACATGCTTCCAGAAGGATAGCATCATTGACGGCATCCAAACCCACGCCTGGCTTCTGATACCAGCAGAGCTGTCCCCGGCGGGTGAGGGATGAATCCATGATGTCATCTGCTACCAGCAAGAAAGCTTGCAGCAGTTCCACACACCAGCCCACAGTCAGGGCCCACTGGAGACTATCAGCATCCTGTTTCCTTGGCTCCACCAGCTCCCGGAATGCTACCAGCACCGTCAAACCCCGGTGATACTTGCCTCCAATGACGTTGTACTCCAGGACCTCCTTGAGCCGGGCAATAGCATCTCCTGTCTCTGGGTGCCCCATCTCATCCTCAGTCAGCACCCTAACGATCTGGGAGAAGTGCTGAACGAAATGCTGCTTTTCTTGGACATAAACATCTGATTTCTGGTCTCCATTCATTCTGAGGGAGGAGCAAAGGGCTCTGTTCCTGGATGCGGGTTCCTGCTCCGGATTAAGCTTTTTTTACACAATTTTCTCAATACGATTTGCCATAGTAAATCATTTCCTCAGTTATATGAGATGCCATGTATAGTTAGGTCTATATCATTCTCTTCAACTCATCTCTCCATTCAAGAACCAATAATATATTGTTTTAATTATTAAGGCTTTATTATGTGTTTTAATATTTGGTAGCACTATTCCTTCTGCTACCCTCCCCCCCATCATAGACCCTTCTATTTGAGTCTTCCTTGTAATTTTTATTTTTCCATATAAACTTAATTTTATCCTTTTGCTTTTTGTAGACAGGGTCTCTGTCATCTAGGCTGGAGTACAGTGGTACAAACATAGCTCACTATATTCATAAACTCCTGGGCTCAAGTGATTCTCTCACCTCAGCATCCCAAGTAGCTAGGACTACAGGTGCACGCCACCACACGTGGCTATCTATGAAGAAGGGCCCATCATTTTGCTCTTTAGCCCTACTCCTGTTAATATGACTGATTATATAATATTTTGGCCCTGATTCCCCCTTGCCTGATATCAACATCATGACAGCTGTTTGCATTTTGTTTAAATTTATCTGAAAGTCTTTATCTATTCTTTAAATTTTAACTTCTCTCAATTATTTTGCTATAGGTGTGGCTCTATAAATTGCGTAGAATTGGGCTTTGGAGAGCCAATCTGAAATTCTTTTTAAAGTTAAGTTTAGCCTATTTATACTGATTGACATAAGAAACAGATTTTTTTGTTGTTGTTGTTCCTGACACTACCATTTTCTATTTTTTTCTGTATCTATAAATTTTTTTAAAAAATAGTTCACTACATGGTCTTTTGATTTTTTTCCAAAGTATTAATCTTTATATTTAGAAAGATCTTTGTATTTTTGTTTTAGTAGCCAACTTTTATAATTAAAAACCCCAGTATAATATCTTTAGTTCTCTCTTTTCAACACTATTTACTAAACTCCTACCTTAAGTAATAATAAAATTGTATATTTCCTTAACATTTTCCTTCCCTTTTCTCCTCTTTTTCTCACACTCTCTTGGGCCTTCTCTGAACACCAAATTTTTTCTGTATATTAAAAACAGAGTTGCATTGATAATACTAACAACAAATACAGAGGTGGGCACAGAGTTAGTACACAGTTTTAAAGAAAAGTACTTTTCAGAAAAATTAGGAATTGAATCATGTCATAATTCATTTGACCGAAAGGAGGTGGGGAATGCTACTTTAGTTGATTTAAAAAGTCACTTTTCTGAAGTATAATTTACATGTAGCAAAACTCACTCTTTTTGGTGTATATTTGTACATGCTTTGATAAAGTCAAGAGACACAGGATCTACCACCACCAACCTCATCACTCAATTTAATGTTAGCTTTGTAGTGCTAAATGTACTTAATAATTCTACTACTTGATCTGACAGCTTTAAAGAACATTCCATAGTACCTATTATTAAAGATAAAGCAATTAAAATGTAAACACTTCTACCTGCCACCTGCATTCCCTTTCCAATTTTTGTGAGATGCAGTATTTGACACTGTTAGTATATAAAACATTTATATTCTATGTTGTCATCCTAAAATATATGTTTATTTTAGTCTTAATTGTAGTTGTAAAAACACCCATTGGTTATAACCAATATTTTCCTACTTTTCCTCCTCATCTCTTATTGGCTGCATGTAAAACATTACAATTCCTGACACACAATTAGTGCTTAGTAAATATTCGCTAGAAATAGCAGAAATCATTGTTAGTAGAACTGCTTTCACTAACTTTGCAAAATTAGTTTTCTTAGAAGGGTAGTAACTATGTAACTTTAAAATATAGTGGAATTGCTTGATGAATAATGGGGTAGATGAACATCCAAGTTATCATCTGTGTTTTATAAAGCCTTTACTGCTTACCATAATATGTATGATGAGACATAAATCAAACTTAAATTCATGTAAAAATAAATTGTGGTCCCATCAGGTTTGTATGGGCCTTCAATATTCCCTCTAATAATGTGTTCATTCTTTCTACAATCTTTTTTTTTTTGAGACAGAGTCTCACTCCATCACCAGGCACCAGGCTGGAGTACAGTGGCACGACCTCGGCTCACTGCAACCTCCACCTCCTGGGTTCAAGCAATTCTTCTGCCTCAGCTTCCCCAGTAGCTGGGACTACAGGCACGCGCCACCACGCCCAGCTAATTTTTTTGTATTTTTAGTAGAGACAGGGTTTCACCATGTTGGCCAGGATATTCTCGATCTCTTGACCTCGTGATCTGCCCGCCTCGGCCTCCCAAAGTGCTGGGATTACAGGCGTGAGCCACAGTGCCCGGCCTCTATAATCTTTATACTACTAATTATTTGGTAAATCTTTCCTTCAGAAAAACAAAGAAAAACTTTGCTTTGCAATAAAACAATAAGCATAGAAATGACCAGTGATATTAATCAAGACATACTCAAATACACAAATAGATTAAACTACTTTGCGTTACTCTTTTCTAAATTTTCTTTCTTCCTCTTGATTCTGTTAACAAACAACATTCAACAGCGCTGCTTAAGGAGTTAATGCTGACCTCTCTTAAATACATCTCCTTATTATCTTACCACTAACGTAAGCCATATAAGGGTATAGAAAGAGTTAGATATATGAGCTTCTACTTTATCCCTCTGATGATAAGAAATAGCTCTGCCATTGTTCACACTGCTGTGGGTTCCTAATGAATTTCACGGAGAATTCAATTCAAATGTATTAAGTTGCTGTTAGTCCCTTCGTAAGATTAATTCAGGCAGGTCTGGAAACAGTTACTAGGATCTTCCCTAGAACTTCAAGGCAATAATCACATTTTAAAAATACATTTTGGCCAAGTGCGGTGGCTCACGCTTGTAATCCCATCACTTTGGGAGTTTGAGGCATATCATGAGGTCAAGACATAGAGACCATCCTGGCCAACATGGTGAAACCCCGAATCTACTAAAAAATACAAACTTAGCTGGGCATGGTGGCGTGTGCCTGTAGTCCCAGCTACCAGGGAGGCTGAGGCAGGAGAATCACTTGAATCCAGGAAGCACAGGTTGCAGTGAGGCCAGATCACACCACTGCACTCCAGTCTGGTGACAGAGGAAGACTCTGCCTCAAAAAAAAAAATATATATATATATTATGATATATCATATATATAAAGATAATATATATTATCTTTATAATATATGATATAATATAATATATATATTATATAAAATATAAATATAAATATAAATATATAAATATAAAATGTAAATATATATTATATAAAATATAATATATATAATATATATAAACATTTTAGAAGGGAAACAAGGCTTAATAAAAAGAACATGAATATTGGAGGCAGGCAGATCTGAATTGAAAAAAAAAAAAAATCAAGGTTTGCCATTTAATATGTGTCATCCAGGACACTTTTAGAAGACTGTTTCTAAAATCTCAAAGGGCTATCATGAGGATTACGTCTAATAACATGAATGAAGGTATACTGTTTGGCAGCAGTAGACAGTCAACAAATGATGGATAACGTTTTTAAGTCATTAAATGTTACAATTTGTGTATCCCTAATCTGAAAATCTGAAATCTGAATTTGAGCACTGACATGAACCCAAAGGAAATGCTTACTGGAGCGTTTCAGCTTTCAAATTTTCAGATAAGGATGCTCAACCAGTAAGTATAATGCAAAGACTGTACTTCAAAATCCCCAAAACACAAAATCTGAAACACTGAAGGTCCCAACCAGGATATTCAACCTGTAATAGTCATTAAAAAAACAAAGCCATTGCAATCATAGGAAGTTATAGCCAATTGTTGCAGGGTAAAATGTATCTAAAAATTCTATCCAGGTTCTTGACAGAGATTGGGAACATATCTTGATATGGTTGCAGAAAATAAAGTGATAAAATGGGCACATTTTGAAAAAGAAAGGCAATCAATTTAAATGCTATTATAAAAAGAACTCTCTTGTTCTGGAGAATTTTCTCTGTTCTTTATGTTATGGCCTTACTGATTTTTAACTCTACCAGAGCTGCCAAAGTAATTTTGTAGAACTTGGATGGTAAGAGGCATAACTATGGTGAAGTCCTTTATATCATTAGTGTGAAATGCCTCCCCCTTTCATGTTTTACCAACTGTATTCTGACCATGGAAACCATTTGCTGATCTTGAAACTTTGAGAAAGGTAAGATGCAGGGAGGTAAGTGAAGGAGGACAGATGCCGTTCAATTCAGTTTTAGTGATTGTTTTAATGATTCAATTCCATAAACATGTATGATGCTCCATCTACATCCCAGAAGCAGTGAAGCTCATTTAAGAGTTAAAGCTAAACAAACATAATCCCTGTCCTGAAAAACAATTATTTTGTCTGTCTACAATTTCTCACAGCAGAAGGTCTGTAAAAACAGAATCTCACAGTAAGTATGCAGAGTTAATATGATTAAATGTTTTCCAGAAACATAAAAAGAAAGCCTTCCAAATTTATTAGGATCCATTTAGATGAGGATTGGGTATATTGCACTTTTAAAACTTATTAGAAACCAGTCACTACTTTAAATATTCTCACAAAATCACAGAGAAGTCAGGTTTTTTACATATTTAGTGAAGTCAAGAATAATCTCCAATTTAGTATGAAACATGCCATTGGCAAAAAAGGGAAAAAAAATGACATGAGGATTAAAAATAAAAAGGGGTTAGATTTGAATTTGAGTATCTAAAAGCTTCTAAACCCTCGTCTTTAGATATTTATTTTTTAAATTGTACTTTAGGTTCTGGGGTACATGTGCAGATCATGCAGGATTGTTGCATAGGTACATACACGGCAAGGTGGTTTGCTGCCTCCATCTCCCCCCATCATCTATATCTGGCATTTCTCACCATGTTATCCCTCCCCAACTTCCCCACCCCACACTGTCCTTCTCCAGTCCCTGGCAACAGACATCAAGTGTGTGATGCTCCCCTCCCTGTGTCCATGTTTTCTTATTGTTCAACACTCGCCTATGAGTGAGAGCATGCGGTGTTTGATTTTCTGTTCTTGTGTCAGTTTGCTGAGAATGATGGTTTCCAGATTCATCCATGTTCCTACAAAGGACATGAACTCATCATTTTTTACGGCTGCATAGTATTCCATGGTATATATGTGCCACATTTTCCTTGTCCAGTCTATCATCAATGGGCATTTGAGTTGGTTCCAGGTCTTTACTATTGTAAACAGTGCCATAATGAACATTCGTG